GTGTTCAATAAAAACATGGCAACATTTCATTCTTTGTGTGTTATTAGTTTAAGCAGAATGTGATTGTCTATTGTTGTGACTTAGATGATGCTCAGATCACATTTTATGACCAATTTGTGCAGAAATCCACATCATTCCAAAGGGTTCACATACTTTTTCTTGCAACTGTAAGACATTTTCGTTTTATCATATTTGATCAAGGCTACTTTGAGGCATCAAAAAGCCATAGTCTGATTTGAGTGGGCATCCTTTCTTTTTATTTTTTATTTGTAGAAGAGTATGTATAAGGAGTGGGCATCCTTTCCAGAATGACTGTTCATGGACCATGGCATGATGGGTCCAGTTGAGAAATATTTGTTCTCTAAACCGTATGCCTACCTGTTCCCCCACAAGACTTTCTTTTTTTGCTTCTCTGTAGCCAGCTGTTCTCTGAACCCCTTGTCTCTGGTTGTGGAGACCCCTTAAAAGATGGCTTCTTTAATAGAGACAATGCCTTTATAGGTTTATGGATAATGTGAAAAATAACTGAATTTACTAAATAAAGCCTGTAGTGTGTTGCATTATCCTTTTGTCAAATAAAGACAGCAATTTTATTACGGGATCCATGATGGGCACTTACATGTTTGTAGTTCAGGACTTAGAAGTTCCACTTGCCACTAGCCGTTGAGGAGTGTGAAATTGATTCGTCAAGCGAGTGGCGAGTAATGTAGTGGCGAGTAATTTCTAAGGCCTGGCTGGCTGCTAGTGTAGAACTTAAAATTTTAAGCCATGTATATAAAGTGCGTGCACATGACACCCATGTACTTTTAAAGAGGAACCGGCATATATATTGATGGTCACTCTTTTTCAAAGTCCTTCGCCTTCTCTGTCTGCTGCATCCTGATTCCTTGCCTAAACTGATTAGCCTTTTTAGCCACAAACACAGATTTAGCAAAACTAAGCTTTAGCTAAAAGTGTTGGGAATTTTTAAAAAATTGTCTGTGCAAACATTCCGTGTCTTTCTCGTCTGTTCTTACAAAAGCAATGTATACTTTCTTTGAGCAGATAATAGAGGGTGGCAGATGTACAAGGCTTTTACAGTGAAGAAGATCTTCAATGTTTGAAATTCAATTCCTTGGCCAAAACTGATGCTGATCCTAGCAGACAGATAGGTTACAAAATACGAAGGAGCCTGAATTTCAGAATGAAGTCGATGTCACTCTATATTGAGACAAGTGGCAATCTAGAATTACAGACATTACTTATTTATAAAATACACTCTTCATCTGAAACATATCTTCCCTTCTGCCACAATTAGGTGAAATGGAATAATCAGCTTGGACATTGTTTGCAAACAATATTTGCGATGGGAATAAAATGCAGAAGCTGTTTGCTTGTTGATGTGCCTGCTTGTTGTTGGAAGGTGAAGGGGATGACTGCTATGCCAGCTGGATTATATGATAGTTATTAAGAAGTTTACACAGAAAAATAAAAACACAATCTAAAAAAAAATTGAGACTTTTGTTTGATAAGCAAAGACTTCCATTAGTCGGAGCAAGGGGTGACCACAATTGTTGGTGTCATGATCTATTTTTAAAATGACTAGCTCAACGAGATCTACCTAATAAAAACACACACGTTTTCTTACAAAATGATATACATTAAAATTCTTATTGTGACTACAGCATTTATCATTGCATTAAATTAATCTAATACAATAAAGAAAACCCTGACCCTCCTTCTACAAACCCCCTGTCATCTCTTTCTACAAAATCCATGTCACTCCTTGCCACAAAACCCCTGCCCCCTTTCAAAACTTGTCACCCCTCTACAAAACCCCCATTACTCCCTTCTACAAAATCCATGTTACCCCTCTCTACAAAACCCTTGCCCCTTAACTAAACCCATTCCCATTTGCCTATCCGCTCTACAAAACCCAAGCCCACCCACCTCTACACAACCGATGCCCATTCAATCTACAAAACTCCCGCCCAAACACCTCTACAAAACTCACGCACCTCCTCTCTACAAAACCCCTGCCCACACCCTCTACAAAACCCCACCTCTTCTACAAAACCCCTGCCCACCCCCACCCACTCTACAAAACTCCTGCTCCCCTCTACAAAACCCCTGTTACAGTACTAGTCATAAAAAATTAATTTAAAAAAATCAATACCAGCAAGCAGATACTCCACTCACAGTTCATCGTCTGCTTGCTGCTCCCTGCTGCTGGCTCTGGCCTCAATGGTATACTGTTGCGGCGCCGCTCGCACACAGGAATTCTTCCACTGCCAGGAGTCACTGGAAGAAGGCAGAGCAGGTCAGCATTGGCATACATTGCACACCTCTGCACGCAATCTCGCTCCTCCAGGGTTAAGTAGTGCTGCCGGCCGCAATCTACCAGGATCGCCTCTGCGATCGACTGGTAGATAACAATCAATTTATGGGGCACCCCTGGTCTAGAGGATACATACAGGGTTATTCTCCTTCAATGTTATGTATCGTTTTTATTGCATTATATTTATAGGTTAGGGTTACATAGTTACATAGCTGAAAAGAGATTTGCGTCCATCAAGTTCAGCCTTCCTCACATTTGTTTTTTGCTGTTGATTCAAAAGAAGGCAAAAAAAAACAGTTTGAAGCACAATTTTGCAACAAGCTAGGGGAAAAAATCCTTCTTGGCCCCAAATGGCAGTCAGATTTATCCTTGGATCAAGCAGTTATTACCCTACATTGAAAGATTATATCCTTGAATATTCTGTTTTTGCAAGTATGCATCTAGTAGCTGTTTGAACATCTATATGGACTCTGATAAAACCACTTCTTCAGGCAGAGAATTCCACATCCTGATTGTTCTTACAGTAAAAAAACCTTTCCTTTGCCTTAGACGAAGTCTAAACGCATGGCCTCATGTCCCATGTAAAGTCCGGTTTGTGAATAGGTTTCCACACAATGGTTTGTATTGGCCCTGAATATATTTGTATAATGTTATCATATCCCCTCTCAGGCAACGTTTTTCTAAACAAAATAGGTTTAAATTTGTTAACCTTTCTTCATAGCTGATATGTTCCATTCCTTTTATTAATTTTGTAACCCGCCTCTGCACTTTTTCTAGTGCCATAATATCCTTCTTTAGAACAGGTGCCCAAAATTGCACAGCATATTCAACATGTGGTCTTACCACTGATTTATAAAAAGCAAAATGATATTCTCGTCCCGAGAATGAATGCCCTTTTTCATGCATGACAATACCTTACTGGCCTTGGCCACTGCTGATTGACATTGCACATTGTCGTCTATAACAATTCCCAAGTCCTTTTCGTGTGTGGTTATCCCTAATTCACTACCAGTTAGGGTGTAAATTGCTTGTGCATTCTTAACCCCGAAGTGCAGAACTTTGCATTTCTCTACGTTAAATTTCATCTGCCATTTAAGTGCCCAGTCTCCCAATCTATCCAAATCCCTCGGCAGCAAAGCAATATCCTGCTCACATTTTATTACTTTACAAAGTTTTATGTCATCTGCAAACACTGATACATGGCTTTCAATGCCTATTTCAAGATCATTTATAAATATTTTAACTAAAAGTGGTCCCAAAACAGAACCCTGAGGGACACCACTTACCACTTTTGTCCAGCCTGAAAATTTACCATTAATGACAACTTGTTGTACTCTATCCTTAAGCCAATGTTCTACCCAACAACAAGAATATTCATCTAGACCAATTTCTTTTAGTTTGAAGACTAACCTATTGTGAGGAACCGTATCAAATGCCTTGGCAAAATCCAAGTAGATCACATCCACTGCAATACCCTGATCTATACTTCTACTTACTTCTTTGTAGAATGCAATTAGGTTAGTTTGACATGACCTATGTTTCATAAAACCATGCTGATTATTGCTATTAACAAAGTTCTTCCCAATGAATTCCTGAATATTATCCCTTAATAGCCCTTCAAATATTTTCCCAGTCACAGAAGTTAAGCTCACAGGTCTATAATTTCCAGGCAAGGATTTTGAACCCTTTTTAAATATAGGAACAACATCTGCCTTCCTCCAATCCTCCGGTACAATACATGAAACAAAAGAATCTTGAAAAATTAAATACAGAGGTTCACTTATTTCCCCACTTAGCTCCTTAAGTACTCGTGGGTGAATACCATCAGGCCCTGGAGCTTTATTTACATTAATTTTTTTTAATAGCTGTAGCACCTTGTCTTGAGTTATCCAATCACAAGTTATCTGCAAGTTTTTTGAAGCAATCATTTGCATATCTCTTGCCATAGGATCCTCATTAATATATACTGAAGAAAAATAGTTATTTAAAATGTCTGATTTTTCCTGGTCTTCATTAGCTAACAAACCCATCTCTGTTTTCAGTGTACCTACACTTTCATTTTTGTTTTTTTAGAATTGATGTACTTGAAAAATGTTTTGGGTGTTGGTTTTGCATTCTTTGGCTATCAATTTCTCATTTTCTAGTTTAGCCACTTTAATTCCCTTTTGCAAGCATTATTGGCTTCCTTATATCTTATTTAGGATGCCTCTGATTTGTCCAATTTAAATGCTTTAAATGCCCTTTTCTTATTGTTAATCTCTTGTTTTACTTCTCTACTAAGCCACAATGGTTTTAATTTGTTTCTTTTATATTTATTACCCAATGGTACATACTGAGAAATGTACCTTTCTAATATTTGTTGAATAGTTTCCATTTATCCTCAGTGTTTTTATCACTAAGGAGTTTATGCCAGTCGATATGTTGTAGAGCTGCCCTAATCTTATTGAAACTGGCTTTTTAAAAATTATATATTTTAGTATACCCCACGTGCTTTTTCTTTTTTGAGTTTATTTTAAAAATTACCATATTATGATCACTATTTCCCAAATGCTCTCCTACTTGAATGTTGGTTAAAAGATAAACATTGTTTGTTATAACGAGATCCAGACAAGCATCCTTTCTAGTTGGTGCTTGTACCAGCTGTGACATAAAAATGTAATTTAACACATTCAAAAGCTTGATTCCCGTTGCTGAAGTACTAGTCCCTCTTTCCCAATTTATGTCCGGGAAATTAAAATCTCCAATAATTAACATGTTACCCCGATTTGTAGCTTTCCCAATTTGCTCTAACAGCTGTTCTTCCTCATTAATATTTACATTAGGTGGTTTATAACATATCCCAACCAATAATTGATTTCCCTTTGTATGCCCCAGGCAGATATCTACCCATAAAGCTTCCACATTTTCCTCGTCACACTCCACATGCCTAAGATTTGACTTTAACTCATGGTTGACATACAAACATACCCCACCACCCGTCTTGTTTTTCCTATCCTTCCTAAATAACGTGTACCCATTTAAGTTAACTGCCCAGTCATGTGTCTCATCCCACCATGTTTCTGTGTGTGTCTCTGTATGTGTGTGTGTGTGTATTTGTATGAATGTGTGTGTCTGTCTCTGTATGTGTGTGTGTGTGTCTCTGTATATGTGTATGTATGTATGTGTGTGTGTCTCTGTATGTATGTGTGTGTGTCTCTGTTTTGTGTGTGTCTGTGTGTCTGTATGTGTGTGTCTCTGTATGTGTGTGTGTCTGTGTCTCTGTATGTATGTATGTATGTGTCTGTATGTGTGTGTCTCTGTATGTATGTGTCTGCATGTATGTGTCTGTGTTTGTGTATGTATGTATGTGTCTGTCGGGGGTGTGTGTGTCTGTCTGTGTGTATGTGTTTGTGTTTGTATGTATGTGTTGGGGGGAGCCTACGGTTAGGGGGAAGATGGTATGGGGAGGGAGAGGAGAGGGGTGGGGGGCCCATGGATCAGTTTTGCACTGGGGCCCCATGGATTGTGTGTACGCCACTGCTGGCAGCGGACGATTACATCCCTAGGTGCAGAGGTTGGCACCATGGACAGTTTATTTATTCAGTATGTCATCTAGAGAGTGCAGGCTAAGGGCCAGCTCCTGCCTTTGAGTTTGAAGAAGGGAATGTGATTACTGTAACTTGGACTTGTATTGGTGCAGCATCAGTATATTCCTTTCTGCTGCTTGGACTCTGTCAGTGACAGCTTGTACCTTTATCTTAATAAGAGTAAAGTCTTCAAATAAAAACTTTATTTTGGAAAGCAGACTCTGGATGTACCCTTTGGTCGGGGTGTCAGGTGGTGTAGTATATCCGAATGGGGTCAGGTAAATTGGGAGATAATCTGCACACTTCACAAATTAGGCTTGTGCTGCACATGGCTGCTGGCTACCATAGGCTCCTCTCTTCTTGTGTTTCGGAGAGGTGGTGGGTTGGTAGAGAAAAGGCAATAATAGGCAGATAAAATTAGGATCCATCAGGTATGTAATGTATCAAAAACTGACTGTTAGCCGGTTGTTTGCCAAGTACTCACTGATGGCACCGGAGCTACACAAGATAGCTTCTGGTTAGTGGTCTGCTAAGTTCTGTACCCCAGACTTCATTTTAGATCTATCCAAAGTGGAAGTTCCAACAGATACACTAATTTTGTCCATAGCTCAATTATTTACATTGGCTGAAATTCCCCTTTAAAGGAAAGCTCTTGCTACATTAATGCACATACGTTGTACCTTGGTTTGTTAGATGTACCTGCAATTTTTTTTAAATTCTTTATTATTGAAGTGCAGAGGAACATACACAAAGTGACAGTGACATATGTTGTCGGGTGAAATAAAACAAGTGAGTACATGCTTGAAGTTAAGGCACAATATGTCAAGAGGAAACTGCACATTTTTAAATGTAATGAGTAGATTTTTGCTAGGTTAACATGTCAGGGTGTATATATAACAAGATATGCACTCAGATAAGGGAATTCCTGACAGGAAGATTATTTGGTATGTATGCATAAAGTATAGTAGATAGCATGTTATAAGCTAGATATGGAGTGTACAAGACAAGTTATACAAGTCAAATTGATGGCTGGACAGGGTACACTTAGCTTATGAGCTGACTACAGATTTGATTGTTTAGACTCGAGTAATAAAGGACAGGCCACATGTCACTGAAGTGAAGCAAACAAGGATTAGGTAAAAGTCCCAAGGAGGTTTTCACAGTATCGTAAATTAAATTAGAGACGGGCAAACAGAATAGTGTTGGGTAAGCTAAGCTAGACATAGACAGTTGACTTGCATTTCTCTCCGTGTGATCCCAGTGTGCAGGAGAAACTGGTGGGGGTTAGATTCTCCTTTGCTCAGTCCGGGAGCTCACTCAGCCGATGCCTGCCAGAGGTGCTTTTCATTCCTGCAGCATAGTGATGCATCACGAGCCTCTGGGTCCGAGTACCATCAGCTAGGACTGTTAAACTTGTGGAGTCTGGAGCTGGAGCATGATGAGGTGTTCCAGTCCTCTGGGCTCAGGGCTGGCACATGAGGTGTGAGCTTGTCGGTCGGGTGTCTCCATAGGGCTTGAAGTCCCTGGTGGAGTCTTACATGAAGCCTCTGTCTCCTGTGCTGGAGAGGCACGCACCGCTTGGTCCACCGCCTTGATGAGGCCTGTGTAGTTATTAGAACACTCAGAGCCTTCCTCCGATGTGGAGGAGGCATCTTGGGTACATGGGTGTTTGGGAGTGGTGAGACTGTATCCGTGTTCTGCCCTACAGCTTGCGCCAGAAGTTGGCAAAGAGCGTGTCCAGCTTGTTCAAGACTCCATAGTGTGAGTCAGCAGGACTAGGGAGGCATGCGGCGTCCGCCATGATAGGATTCACACTAAGTTCCAGGCATGTTCGCGTTGTTGTCTCATGCGCTCTCCCCAGGTTAGGTTTGCCTCCAAGAGGTGGACCTCGATTATCCCCGATGGACCAAGGGGGGGGGGAGTTACAGGGCACTTGTTCTGTATACCTGTCTGGTAAACACAAGGCCTCATGAGCAAGGATATGGCTATTCACGAGTATTGGCAAAAGTAGTATCCACATTGACACCCCAATATTCCCTTGCTCTCAATGCCCCGGTGAGACTTTTTGTGCCATATATTTAAATGCTGTACTTCAAATATAAATTAGTGTACCTTTTATCAAATGACTGTTCCAGATATATTTTATGGAATAATTTATGATTCCAAATTTTATAGTGATTTGTTACGCTTGTTTAAAGGGACACTGTAGGCACCCAGACCAATTTAGCTCCCTTAACCCTGCAATGGTAATGATAAACTGCAATAATTGCCTTGGGGAGTTAACTCCACCTTTACTGGCTGTCTAGCAGACAGCCACTAGAGAGACTTCTGGGTGGTTAGGGAACTTTGCCTAACTGACACTGGACGTTCTTACGCTATGCATGAGGACATCCAGCGTCATCCAAAACCCCACAGGAAAGCATTACACAATTCTTTCCTATGTGGGAAGTCCTAATGCAAGCACAACACTTGCCACGCATGCACATTAGGTCCTCCCACGGACATCAGGCGGTTCCGAGGTGGAACTATACATAGCTATAGTTCCAGGAACACAACTTTATTTTCCTGGCACCATTGTTCCCCTTTAATGCAATTCCCTTCCTTTGTAGAGTTGATTTAATTTGTGACATAGTATATATTACACTAAAGTCATCAATTATTAGAATGTGGTATTAATGATTGTTTGAAATTTTTTACAATACATCAAGGATTGAGTTTGAACATTATTTTATTTTAATATTTTTTTCTGATCGTTTCACAAAGGTTTTTTAATTTATCACATCCCACCATATATGAGAAAAAGATTCTTCCAAGTGATTACATCTCCAACAGATATTAGTAATGGAAGGATAGATTTGGTTTCATTTTGTAGGTACCATGTACCATCTTTGAAAGATCTTATATTGAACTTCTAAAAGATTTAAACAATGAATATTTTGTTTGTCCAATCATTACTTTATACCAATCATTACTTTCAAAAATTCTTCCAATTTCTTTCTCCCATACTTGAAAAGCATTGATCATATATTTTTCTTTATTCTATCCATTATTCCTACATTTAAAACTTTTGTGATATTATAGTCCTCTGTTAAGGCTTTCTGAAGTTTACTTTCTTTTTCCAGAGGATTCCCAATAGTATTTTTAATAATAACATTTTTAACTCTTAGATACATAAATATATCTTTTTGATTTAAATTATATTCTTGTGAGAGAAAATGAAAAGTTTTAATCTGTCCTTCTTTGAAAAAGGCACCAATTTTAGTTATTCCTTTTTCTATCCATTTTGTAAGACAAATAAGCTGTATTTTATATTGCAAAACTTTAATCGGGGTTAACATTACTTTTATTAATTTTAACTTGGTTTTATTAAGACATTTTCTCCAAAATTTCATAAGATTATCCATTACTATATTTGAGTTTTCGATTTTGTTATCATTGCTTTCCATCCATAATATACAGTCCAAGTCAACATTTTTAGTTTTTAAAGCCTCTATTTTATACCAGGCTTCAGAAGAAAAACCATTGATTACTCAATTTCTTTAAATGAAGGATCATAGATGCGTCATGGTATCTTTTAATAAGAGGAAGATTAATACCACCTATATTTCTCGACAAAGTGGAAATCAATATTCAGGTTTAAAAAAAAAAAAAACATATATAATCATTAAAAAGCTTTTGAACTTCTTTCAGACACTTTTGGGGAACTGTTAAAGGTACCATTCTGAATAGATATGTCCATTTAGGAAGTATGTAAGATCTTTTTTTTTTTATGTATATACTTTTTTATTGAGAATTTTTTTTTTTAATTTTTTAAACAATTTGACAGACATATTTGACAACAACAATTATATGACTGAATATACAAACAAGACAATACAAGGACAACATACATACAATATGTGATTTAGTATATTACTCGTCTAGGAAGGATATCAGTTAGTTTAGCATTACAGTAAATAGAGGAGTTATAGCTTTAAACTATCTTTTATCTTTTGAATCCATTGCACATAGTAATGAGTATAGTTAAGGTTATTTATAAATATGCAACTCCTTTCTCCATTTCCTTTCCCTTTTTCCTTCCTTTTTTTTTTTCTTTTTTCTTTCTTTTCCCCTCCCTTTTCCTTCCCCTTCCCTTCTTCTCTTTTTTTTACAAGCAAAAAAGGATTCACATACATTGTTACCAAAAAAAAAAAAAGAAAAGAAGGCTGCTCTTTGCCGAGAGTTAGTCGCATATTGCTTCTAGGAACCTGGAACCATAATTTTTGACATAAATTTTTTTTTCCTTACCAAACAGGCTCCATAAACCCGTGGCTAATTTAGTAATTTATGCACAGGAACCACTACC